GTAATGGTTTCTCAAATTGTTCTTTAATTTTTCTTTTTTCATATGTTAATGGTCTTTGAAAATTATATAATATTAATAAAATATAAGGAAAATAACATTAAAATAACTTAATATTGTCACTCACTTTCCAGAATTTTCATAATCTCTTATTGTAACCAATACTAAAGCTGGATGAACTTTGTCTCTAGCAATATTTTCTTCATTAGTGATTTGATCTATTATTTTAGAGACTGTTGGTGAGGATGGTTTTAATAATTTAAGATTATGTATTCTTTGCAAATTAGTCAAAAGCAGACTTAAGTTCATTGATGGTATTAATGCATTCCAAATCTATAAATGAATTATTTTATTATAAGAAATCATATGTATTAACAATTTTTAAGAATTTTGATTATTATGCTAATACTTCTTTGGATTTTAGTAAATGTCCAGGTACATGATCTAACGTTAATTTATACATTTCCAAAAGACCTGCTGCTCGAACTTCATCTGTACAGTGTTTAAAATCTTCAACATGTTCAATATATTCTAAAATTTCTGTAAGTGTAGGATCTTCTCCATATGATTTTTTCATTTCTTCCAAACCACGTATTATATATTTAAGAATCATTTCTCCCCCTATTTAATAATATACTATTTAATTAATAATTTAATTATTTATATAATGATAATATTTTAATAAAATAAATACCAAGATTATTGGGTACAGGATGTGACAATTTTATGATATCTTTATGCTTCCAACCATATCTGCCTTTATATCTTGTAACACACTTTGCTAATTCCATTGGTGTTTTTGATAAATACCAATTATTTACAGCTTTTCTTAAGCCTTGACCCCATCCATGTTTTGAATTGTTAGTTGCATCAAGTTCTTTTTGTTTACTTATTTGAGAAGCAAATTTTATAAATAAAATAAAATGTTGTGGCAATACACAAATTTTATTTAAAATTGCATACGCTGCATGACGTAAACTTTCACTTTTCATTTGTCTACAGCAAACAGCAAGAGCAAATACCAATGTTTCTGGATTTGGAACAAGATTATTTTCAAATGCCTATAAAACAGTAAACTTTTAAATTGTTAACATAAATTATTTATATATATTTTATTTTAATACTTATAATAGAATTTTACTTTTATAATAATTTGAATTGGTAATAATTGTTTTTCTGTATTTTCAGCTAATTCTTCAATAGATGGAACATTTTTAGCCAAAAAGTAGTTATGAACAAACCAATTTCCAGGTTGATAATCAGGATATTCTTTTCCAACATAAAGAAATTGTGATAATCGTACTTCAGGATCATTTGGATCCAAATCCACTGCCATTTCTTAATATACAATACTACAAAATATAATATAATATAATATAATTTAGATAAAATATAAAAGATGAGTATTTTTTCATTTTGTTTAAACAAATATAATAAATTTTTTTATTGATAATTAATGTATTAAAAATTTATTATGTAAACTTTATGTTACATATTTATTTATGCAATTATAAAATATAACATGAAAGACAATGAAATTATCCTTAATAAAATATTTTAAAATATATAATTTTTAATAACTTTTTGTTTAAGAAATAATATATTTCATAAAATTTGATATCATAATTATTTTTTAATATGTTTGGAATATAATTTGGAATAACATATGCAGTTATATGCAGTTTTATTTAATTATATACATTTGTAAATAATTTTATATATATGATTTTTTTCTAAATTTTTATTTGTTTATTTGTATTCAAAAAAAAAAAAATTAAATTTCATATATGTATAACAGAACATAGTAACAGGTTTTATTAAATGTCCTGATAAGGTAATATGAAAATGCGATGTGACATTTAAAATAATGCATATTTGATTCATTAGTTGTATAAATACAATACTTATGCGAATGCATGAAATTTAAAAAATTTTAAAATGTCATTATGTACATTCAATTCTTATTACCTTGTGTTAATCGAAAGAGCAATAACTCGAAACACAATCATGCAGAACAATGTTTTATGACGTACAAAACGTACTGACGGAAGAAGTTATATGATATAGATTTTGAGTCAAATATAAAACATAAAAACTCATTGACTTCTACAAAATTAAATATTTTAAAATAGAATTTTTTATATAATAAAAAAATGAAAGTTTTTCTTTAAATATATACTATGTATATATTTTTTTTTATAAAAATTTAATAGAGAGTAGATTTAAAAATATTTTTTAAATGATTTTCATTATAATTTATATATTTATACTAAATAATAATGAATATTCGATGCATGTATATATGTATTTAATATATATACAGCTATTCAAATTTTAAATTATAGATTCCAAATATTTTGATAAAAAAAAAAGAATACTTTCATTTTTTATTTATAAATTTTTCATATTTTTATTTTTCATTTTTAATTTTTAAAATTTGTTTTAAATTTATTTTCATTTTTAATTTTTTTGATATTTTATTTTAATAGTGCAATAATACTATTATACAATAATAATATAATAATTTAATGATCAGGATTTCATAATAACATTTTTTTTTGTTTAAATAACAAATTTTTTATATTGCCATAAATTATTGATTATTAATTAACAATTTTATTAGTAAATATTAAAATTATTAAAAATTTATTTATTAAAATATAATATTTTATTATACTTAATATGAATAATATGAAAGAAAACATAAACTTTTATAAAATTATAAAATAGAAATCGCTATTTTTTTATTATTATAAATTATTTGTAAACATATAGTTTATTTAATTAGATTTGTTATTTAAAAAAGTTTTTTTTATGAATAAAAATTAATCATTTTAAGTTGGCAATTGATTTGTATTTTAGAATTTAACTAGTAATATTTTCGAAAAAGTAATGTCAGTACGCCGATCATGGCAGACTGGTTGGAACAAAAAATTGTTCGCCTTGGTGAACTAAATAACTTAGAAGAAAAAAAAGATATATTATCCGAGATAAAAATAAAATTAGAAAGTTTAAATAATAGAGAAACTGAACAAATCTCTCGTAACGTGGATTTTAGTCAATTGTTTACTCAGTTAACCTCGAATGACAGGTATCATAACAATTCTAATTTTATTAAACTATTTTTAATGATTGTTAATATAACTTAAAATTTATTTTCTTTTTACTTTATATACATTTTATTGAAGAAAGAATGAAAAAATAATTTATGTGTTATATTATAAAGAATGAAAAAAGAATTGCATTTTTCCTAATTAATTTATTATAATATTAATTAATGTAATAATAAAAAAATATAAAAAAGTTAAATTCTTCCTCTTACAGAGAATATATAGATCAAGTATGTGACATTTTGAAGGCATTATTTGGAATTTTAGAACTTGGAGAAGTATATCAAAGATATTCAGCAGAAATATCTCAGTTAATAATTCATCCAATTGCTGAAGTTAGGTCACTTGTGTTGCATGAAATTTTATGTATTGTTTCTAACTCTCAAAAGATATCTTTAATTATCAAAGATATCAGTTTGTTAGTTGCTATTATAAATAGGATTGCAGATGAAAATTTAATGGTAGCTAAATGTGCAATGTGTGTAATGAAAGAAATTGGTAAAAATTCAAATGGATTACAGATTTTATATACTGGTGAATTATTAAGAAGTTTTGCTAGATTATTAGTGAAGAATGATACTATTAGTTTTCGTATATATGAAGTTATTGTGGATGTAGCAAAATCTTCAAAAGAAGGCCTAGAAGCATCTGCTCAATCAGGATTTTTAAATAGTTTATTTGATATCCTTGAAAGTGAAGATATATTGTTACAAGTAAATGCATTAGAAATCTTGACACAATTAGCATTAACAGAAGAAGGATTAAGTTATTTAGAACAACAAGATGTCATAAGAAAATTGGTTCAAAAAATAGCTCAAGCCAATGAAAATCCATTATCAAATTTATTAATTCCTGGATTAATGAAATTTTTTGGTAATGTTGCATGTTATTGGCCTAATGAAATATTTTCAAAATATCCAATTGTGGTTTCTGCATTGTTTGAAGTAATAGAAAGTGGAGATCAAACTATTCTTGGTGTTGCATTAGATACATTGGGACATGTTTCTATGTGTGTTGAAGGTAAATATGCTTTACAAGCTCTGGGAGATGCAATGCCATGTGCATTAAAAAAAATTGCTGAGATAATACAAAGGATGCCTACAGCATTAAGAATTCGTGGGCTTAATAATTTAGCTCTTATACTTGCTATACAAAAAGTAGAACAAGATAATAGAATTTTATCACTGACAAAATCATGGTTTGATTCTCTGTGTGATGATCCATTGGGTATGATTGTGGCATTGTGTAGACAACCATTTGCAGATATTAGGCAAGCAGGTTTAGAAGTGATGGCAGTTTTGGCATCTCAAGTATGGGGTCAAGAATATATATCTTCTTATCCAGGTCTTGTAGAATTTTTATTGGACAGAAACATTGAATCTTTTAAAGAATGTAAAGAAGCTAAATATGAAGTTGTAAAGCAGTTAGTTGAAGCTGAACAAGACATATTTGATGCAAATACAATGCAAAGGTTTAGGGAGTTTGTAAATCAAGGACCACATTATGTTGATATCAATACAGAAGTTGCAATTGAAGGAGGTCCATAAATTATATTATATCATTTTTATTTTTGTTATTTTATGTTAAAAATATTAGAAATTATCAATATCTATTGAAAATATTGTATAAGATGTCAGATAACTTTTTCAAGTGAAATTTTAACAAAACATATGCTATTATTTATTTTCTATATGTTATATGTATAAATAAAATGCAATGATATATAAATAAAAATCTAATTTTTCATGTGGTCAAGAATATAAATATACAAAGAAAAATAATTATTTTATAGCTAACACAAATAATACATAATGAAGACTACATATAATAATGCAAAATTACATGTAAGTTTTACACATTTACGCCTTATAATATCGATATTTCTTCGATTTGATAAGTTTTTTCACATTAATTTTATAATTAATAAAGACATACATAATTTATGAAAAAAGTTAGATAAAGCAACTTTTGATTGCCTCATTGTATACGTTTTCGTTTTTTTGGTGAAAGTATCTTTAACATGCTTACTATAGGAGCTTCAAAAGAAACGGATATAATAAATGATAATACATAAGATAGAACCAGTTGTCCAAAGAAAGTGATCATCTAAAAGGTGTATCATTTTATTAAAAATTTGTTGATAAATGCCGATAGAAATAGATTTTATACTTTTACATACCATAGTATATTTTCCTAAATGAAATGGCGAATCCAAATTCATGGCTGTTAATCGAATTACAAGTGGATGTACTAAGTAAGCGCAATATGTTGTTCTACTAATTGGATACAAAATCGGTGCCGAAAGAATATTATTTACGTATCCTATGGATATTTATATTTAAAATTTTTAACTAATATGATCATATTTTTATATTTATTTGTAATTTAACAATTATTATTGCTAATAAAAATATACCTCCGTAACCTGTACTGCATGCAACAACGATCCATGATAAACCAAGTGCCCATACGCTATGGCTTAATGAAGAATAAGCAGCTGCCATTATAGGATTAAGTTCTGTTTCGTACAAACCATATAATAAACTTAAAAGACATGCTGAAGAAAGAAGCCATCCTACACAAACGGTTGTCTGAAAAAGATAAAATTATAATTCGGATAAAATCATTTTTTTCATATTTTATAAAATATTAATTTTGGTATACCTTAGACATTTTTATTTTACAGTCAGTCTTAAAGAGGAAATATCCTATTGACATGCCTATAAAATAAGGACCCAATCTGGTCCATGGTTTATCATAAATTTTATCAAAAAGCGCTAACGGATCATCTGAGCTTGGCATATGATTATTTATCAGAGCAATATAACCTGTTGTTAACCAGGAACTCAATAACAAAGTAGTCATCATGAAAGTAGCAATTTTAAAATGATTTGTTGCTAATATCAATATCACGGCGCCGACAATATAAAATTGAGTATCGTCGGCGACATACCAACTCCAAATCATGCACTGAAAAAAAAAAATGTATGTATTATTTAATTTTGGTTATTTTAATCGAAAAGTAATAAAGTAAATCATTTTATTGATTTATTTGATTTCATTTAATTGAATTTTATTTAAGTAAATTTCAAAAAAATTGATTTAATCATTTCATTACCATTTGATCTACTGGAAACAAAGTATTTATATAGAGTAAATTCCTCCACCAATATTTAGGACAGTTGATATGATCCGCGGTTGGTGGATCAAATACAGAATTCGAAAGAAACCATTTAGATGCAACTTGAACTACTCCAAGTACGAACATATAGGGAGCTGTAAGTCTACAAAATCGGTACATAAGAAGACCGATAAATTTCAGACTACCTGCCACAATACCCCGTGTACCCTGTGTAAGTTTGTTCAAATCTCCTTTCGCATTCGTCCTAAAATATAGGAAGCTTACAAGTAAACCTCCCATAAAAAAGAATGTATCAACACTGAAAGCTCCATTTGTAATTGTTTGAAAGAGGAATTTTTTTTTCCACGACTTTTCGATATTCCATATTATCGGAGTATTTAAAAGCAGTAATACAGGTATGACCCAAAATAACCCAAGCCATCGATATCGCTTTAAGACCATGGATAGTGCTGATTGTGTCACCTCCAACTTTATCATCGCAGATGATTTTTACGTTAGCTCGGACCGAGAAAGAAAGTAACAATTCTTCGAAGACACCTAAAAATAATGAAGATTTCTTTTATATTTTCTTCCATTTTTTTTTTTTTAAAAGATAGATTTTACACTTACTAAATTTATATCCTTTTAAACTAGTTGAATCTAGACTACCTTCATGATCGTTGTTGTTATTAACTGCTAATGATTGAGGTCCATTGATGATAGCTTCTGCCACTGGAACAGGAAGGTAGACCTTACCTTGAAAAGCTACGGAATATAATAATAAAAGTGTGTCACTCTACTTGATACTGTCCTTATCCTGTGTTTGTCTGTATTAGTCAATCATTTGTTCTCGATACAAGAAAATGAACATAAAGATACAATGTTGCTTTCGAGTCGCGTCAAAGGGAAGATTTTTACAAGAGAAGGACATTTAAAAAGGAAAAAATAACCCAATATCAATCATCTTACCACTTAGAGGTTTTTGATTTCTGACTGCTAATTGTTCAAGTTTTGCGTGTCTTTCCAAGTCGTAAATCATGTTTTTTCCGCGAGTATATTTTCTTGTTATGTAAATATCATATCCAGTACCAATGAGCATTAAGAGAAAAACTGCAGCACTTACACCACTGAAACATTTTCAATATTTTTAATTTCGATTTTATTATTAATTTGGTTTTAACATTGCTCAACGTACGATAGAATCCAAAAGATTGGATCTTCATACATGTCGTACATATCATGCTGATCTCGAATTTTTTCAATCGATGAATATTTCACCGCTTGTTCACTTCCAGCAAGTTTTACTATCATAAAAACATCGGAAGCATTACACGAGAAAGGTAAACATACTCCAAGATAAATTGTTCTAACCTGTGATTAAAATTATAATTATTATACAAATCATATATTATTAAATAATACGTTTTAAAAATTTAAATTATTTACCGTAGGAAATAAAGTATTATTCACTGAAATGGTCATTATATAAAATCCTAGTTTATAAGGTGGTTTATCTAATTTCGTTCCGATCCAAAGATCTTTTCCACTGAGACCAGAATTTTTTTTTCGTGATTCAATATTAAAGTTTTCTATCGATGCATTTCGATGAATCTTTGTCATCTCTTTCTTATAATCGTCGCCGATATAGGCACATTGAGTTGCTGATCCGACATAATAAGAATTTCCCCAGAGAAAACTATTAGTATATCTACCTGAAGCATCATCAGCTATTAAAAAGAAAAAGATTTTGATTAATAAATTTGATTAATAAATCAAATTCTTTTACATATTTTACAATAACAGCACAAATGTTCTTTTCGTATAAAAGATGACTTGCTAACGCTATAACCAATGACCTATTTTATCAGTTAAGACACTTTCTCTTTACTCGACGAGCGATCATTTCCGGATTACTTACTTTGGTTGAAATTCCAATGAAAGCTAATCGTTGAATATGCTTCAAATTAATCAAATATTTTAAATGTTTCGTATAATTGTTGAAATAATTTTTCATGTTTACAGTAGATAATTTTATTCTTATTTAATATTAAGTAACATAATATCATTCGATCAATGTTGTAAGCTAAATAATTATAGACTTTCGTTTACATTTCTAGATGTATGCCTGCAAACATTTGTGTTGCTACATAATTTTCATTACCAAAGATTACGACATCTATGGGAGAAAAGACTGAGAACCTAATAGTTTAACAAAACTTTCTATTCGAGAAGAAAGTAATATTATCTAATTATCTAATTAATCATCGTTATGGTAATTTACTTATATTGTTTCTATTGGATCTATATAGCATAGGTTGCATGATAGTTTAATTACTAATCATAATTTGTTACGTAAATTACTGTTACAGAATAAATTACGATATCATCGTATCACGTAGAAACGAATTAATGTTTTCCTGCGAAATATTTTGTAATACGTTTCTGGTAACGTATCTCTTGAGAGAGTTGAAAATTCTTTTATTTTTTCTTTTCTATTATATATATATATATATATATATATTATTTTTTTAATTATATTCCTTTATTTTGATTGATCTTAGATTCAAATTTGAAAGTAGTGTCTGACATCTTACGTATATTTTATTTAGTTTATCTAATGAGACTTTTACGAACATTATCGTAATCCGTGATTCTGACAACTGAAGAAATCTTATTATTAATTCTGTTCGCACAAAAGTAGAATCGTGTACGTGTAATCGTGAAAAAATTAGAATAACAATGGATTTTGTATAAGTGCAATGATCTCTGACATAATTCACCATTGAACGATCAAAGTCAAGTTCAATCTTTACATGTAATCCGTATTATTTTTCCATTCTGACTTGCAAAAGAACAAAACTTGTTTACATATTATTATTATGACTGTCATATTTGATAAAATGCAAAAAGAACAAAAAGAAATATTATATAATTATTTTCCTTATAAATAATAATTATTCTTCTTATAAATAATATCAAAAACAAATGAAACAATGATAGAAACGAATGACATTGAAGAGATTGATTTTCGTAAAAAGAATTTAAAGAAAAAAAATAAATAAATTCAAAAAAAAATTTAGCCTAAAAAGCATGACCGGTTTTCAAGATCTTCCACTTGAACGAGCTCATGGTCGGTGTCTTTAACAAAGTTCAAGGGCTATTGCAATGAGAGTTGAAAAACTTGGATTTATACTGTTGTATATATTCGATCGGCGAATGAAATTATTAATTCGAGTCAATAAACGAACAATACTAATTTTTCTATGATAAATCGTGAGTAATGCGATCATTCGTTAAATCATTATTAAAATTCATACTTTGATTAATAAAAAACATAGATTGCAGGGAAATAAGATTCAAAATTTGTGCAATTAAATTGGGGAATAAAATTGATGCATAAAAAAAAATCATAAAGTAAATTGATTTGAGATTTATCTAATTAATTTTTAAATTACTAGTTTCTCTTAAATTTAAAATATTTATATCGATTATAGAGTCATTTTACTTATCATTTACTTCCGATCGATCGAACATGCTAACTAGCACGTTCCGATTAGTCAGCTAGGAAAGTAATTTGAAAAGAGAAATTTTCCCCTATGTAGTTAACTATGTTGCAATATTAATAATCGTTTAACTGTACATTAGTTTACTTTTAAATATGAACCACATTAGAAGCATTCTAGTCATGTCTCTTTTTTGATATTGCATATAAACATCATTTCACAAAACTCTTAATTTATCTTATTATATCTTATATTATTATCTTATTATTAATTCTAATCTTAATAGATAAATTTTATTTAAACATACATGTTTCTGAACGAATTTATATAATTTATATAAAATTTATTATTATTATCATTACGATGTATGATTAATATAATACGTAAAAAAATGATTCAAAGAAAGTAATGTGCCTAATGCATTTATTTATTGATTGCATCAATTGATTATAGAAATTCAGGATAAAAATATAACACGTTAAATTTGTTTTTTTAATAAGAAAAAAGTGAAATAGGCATAATTCTACAATTTGTATTCGAAAAATGTTCTTTGATCACATTCTTACTCCGTGAACTTTACTCGGTGAGATTTTATACGTAGTAAACATTAGAATTTATATTTAATTGACTAAATAAGTACGTAACTTTATATGATGAATTATATGCCAAACGATATATCAATATTCATATATTGATATACCATTCTTTCCATTTAATGAAGGTTGTTAATTAAAAGATTATGACATATACGATACAAATACCTATGAATATATATGTGATTACGCAATTTTAGAACGCAGGTATATGCTTTCTATTTTTCGTACACTTACTAAAGAACGCTGACTTGTGCAATATAACTAAAAAAATTCAGTTTTTTGTTCAAAGCGGGTGGAATTTTTATTGACGGTAGAGGAAATTCTTCTTCCTATAAAATACTCACATGTATAAAACGTGTTTCACTTATGTAGAAGAAAACCTGTTTGGAGATAAAACATATATGTACGTAGAAAGTACATAAGGAAATATTTGCTTACATAATTTCTAGGATTAAAACATTTATCCAGGGAAAAAATCCAATATACACGTTGTTTATAAGTAATATAAATTAATTATTATAGCATTGTGTTAATCTGATGTTGTATACAGATAATTTTAGTAATCATTGAAAGCATGTATATATAAGCAGACTATGTAAAGATCATGAACGGCTTCATGTGCTAGGATTGAAAGAGTTGAGATTTTATTAATGACTATTCGCGAATCGTTATATCACTACTACTTTATGCAGAACATGAAACAAAATGATAAAGGATTGAGAACGAATAAACGAAGAAAAGTACAACGTTACGTGAAAGTTGCGTTTGCAAGCCTGGTTTCCACGTAATCCTTTCTCTGGGCAGTTTTTGTATTCAATGACGTAATTTCGATAATTGCCGCGGTTTCTACTTCGATCATATTTCTATGTGCATGAATCTTCCTTAAAACTTTCTAACGTTACTTTTGTGCGTAAAGGATGTTCACGGAAGTCCAACGTCTTCCATAAGTTTGTCGTGAAACTAAACAGTGTGACACACTATCATCAAAGAAAAACGTTCATTTTACGAAGTTTCGTCACGATCATTCATTTACATTTCATATTAGATTTTTTTACTAAGTTTTAAATTTTAATTTTAATTCAAATACGGATTACGTGACTGGATCAAATATAATTCAATAAATTATTTAATTTTATCTTACAAATATTACTGCTATGTAGATTATTAAAAATGATTGATTCAATCATTAAACTGTAAAGCAGATCTAAGAAATAAATGCATTAAAATTATATTAGAGTTCCAAAAATATCATGATGAGCACATCCGAAAGTTAAAGGATAAATTGCTTGATAATGAGTGTCATTATAAACATGTCATAAAGATTTTTAATATTGTTTTCTTGTGGAAGTCTCATGATTCCTTTCACCTTTCCCTGTACAATTGTATAAATTTGAACTTCCGAGAATGATAATGGAGAATATCTCGACTCCACGAGAGGAGAAAGTCATGAAATTTGTTCCATGGACTTTTCTTTGCTTAAATTAGGCAAAATTTAACAACCAGAAATCTTACCGGAAATAAAGAATAATAAAATTGATAAAATTTTACTTTCATTCAATTAAATTAACTTGGAATAAAATAATAACTTTTTACCACTTTTCAAAATTTATAGAGCAATTTTAAAAAATTCATTTTAATTCCGTTCATTTCGTTATTTATTCTTTTTTAATAACGAAACTTTTATAGAAATATATGTTTCATATAAGTTTTTTTTAAATGTCGAATTGTTTTTTTGAATTTATTTCTTACACACTTTTTGTTTGCAATAAAACATATATATAATTAACAATCCTTGTATAGCATGGTGCTTTTGCAACACAATTTCACTTTAATGCAGTTAGAGAATTGTGGAAATCCCCACTATAATATAGCATTTCATGTAATACAATTTCTCTCTATTTTGATTGGGAAACATAGAAACATAATTATTATTATTTCTTTTCATAAAATATAAATATAATATATTTAGTATTTAAATAATATATAATCTATTATAATTATTAATTATTATAAAATAATTAATTAAAATAAAATAATAGTTTTATTACTTTTTGAAATCTATTTTTGTTTCTTGTTCTTGATAAATTTTAATTCGTATAATATTTTTGAAAAATATAATTACAAGATTGATTCTATGTCGAAAATATCGAATACAAGTAAATTTATTACTTTTTAGGTAAATTTCATTATTTAATTATTGGTCCTTATTGTCAATACATTCAGAATACGTTCAAAAGAATAAGGCTGAAATAAATAAAAGATTAAAAATCAGGATTAAAGTGTACACTTTTTACATAAAAATTTAATTAGATATATTATAAAAGCAAATCATTGTCCATTTTGAGTTTTATAAAAACGAATATAAGAACGAATCTTATTTCTTTGTTCTTCTATTATAATATTATACTAATCAATATTTTATATTAATATTTTATCGATAAATTTTAAATAATTAAAAAAAATATGTAATATTATAAATTTTTATTCTTCTATAATGAAAAATATTATTTTACATTTGTAATATAACATATTAATTAATCTTCGTAATCTATAAAAGTGAGTAGATAACACACTTTTACATATTTTTTAGGTCCACCATATTTTTATCCATAAAAAAACATATTCAAAAAAGGAATTTGAAAAGTGAACGATATAAAGAGCACATACTATTTTTAAGTATTGCGTAATATGTCGAGTGATATTCTAGATTAATATTTTGCAATCGATGAAACAATATCTCACAATGTATTTTTGTTTCAGAAAAATTTAAACTTCGAAAATTCAACTGAACACGATTATTTTGCTAATAAGGAGTGGTATGTAAGTAGCCTCGACTCGATCATAAATGGTAGAAGTAAAGGCCGAAAGAATGAACAAAGAAGTTTGTAACGATCTTGCGAAAAGTGGCATTGACCGAGGATAGTAAAACATTGAAAGCGATTCGTTGTCGGGCCCAGCCTGTATTGGTTGTAGAAGTCGTCACGAGATTGTTCTTTGTGTCGTGAAAAGTGAAATTTCGCGATGAAAGTAGGCAAAGCAAGAGGAACTGCCAAGAGGAAGGTAAAAGATATGTTTTAGCAAGGACGTTCCTGGCAAGCTTTTGCCAACCAGCGACGACCTATCACCTTTCGATTTCCTTCCTGATGAAAGTGAATTAAGTCATTTGGACTTTGACCAAGATAATTTTAATCATTTAGATTTTTTTTTAGAAAAAAAAATCCTGACTATCTAGAGAACGAATCATTCAACGATATTAATTTATTGATATATTAAATTTTTTTTTTCTCTTCTTTTATATTTGTTCCTCTCCCGCATCTGATCTCGAAATGTTGTTCTATTTATGATCAATGAAATCACGTGCCGTATTAATACCAAGTATTACCTAGATCTGGCAATTTCATCTCGCCATAACTCGGACACTTTCTATTCGCATAATAAAATACGCATAATCAATTTTTGCACGCATAAATACCGTTCTCCCTATATACGAAAGAAGAGAAAAATGTTTGCATACGATTAGTTCCAAATGAATAATTAATTATTAGCTATTTTTACAACGATTTAATTACCGAAGATATGACTTTTTTTTAACATAAATTTGATTAATTCAACATACCTTTTGAAGCCCATACTTCTTGTTTTCTTAATCCTTCGATGTATCTTGTAATATCTTTGGCACATTGCTCTTGAATAGCATATTTCCCTTCCGTCCAATTATTGGCAAGATAACGCACATTGAAAATATCTAGCGTTTCCGACAATGTAGTCCAATTTCCATTTTGAATTTTATATTCGTCGGTTGAAGTTCTTAATCGTTGATTCACCAAAGGATTTTGTGATGGATTTTCCGAAACATTCGAAGAAATCACTCTGCAAATCGCGAAGCAAGCAAAAAGAACGACGAGATACGAAGTTTGATTCATTATTATTCAAATTAAATTTGCACTGAACACAATAAAAATGATTCAGAAATAATTATAGTTCTAATAGTTTGAAAATTATTCGTCGAACATATTAAAATTACAAATAGTTTCGATAAATATTAAATCTTTTGTACACTCATTAACTTTTATTTCTCGCTCTCATAAACGATGTTAAAATGATATGATATTGTTTAATATCACAGAAAAGATATACTTCAAATCACACTGAATGCCCCTCTATTCTTCAAATAGATATCTTTACTGATTCTTCATCAAAGAAAAAGAATCTCAATCTCTTCAGTTCCTTTCAAAGTCATGTAAATCTTTGTGTTCGCATCTTTGGATTCTTCCAGAGTATTTCTTCTCGAAGACGTTCTATCCTTGTTATCATACTTACGAGAAAGTAAAGAAATGAGAATAAATGAAAAGAAAAAGGGTGATTCTTCCTTATGATTTCCTCAATATGATTTGAATGATTTTAAATAGGTTTCTTCTTTCTCCGAACAACTATCTTCACTCCTGCGTGATTCTTCTTTATTCGATGATCAAAGTTCACCGAGACCAACCAGACTGGCAATGGTAGAAAAATGGCTTCACCGGTTGAATATCTTGGTAGTAATGAAAGTGTGAGCAAAATAGTGGGGAGAAACTTCCCCCTGTTGAAAAGTGAGTGCCAGTGGCCATCTACTCAATATACACTGTGTTTAAATGTATATATATTTAAATATGTATACTCATAATTAACATAATTTCGTATCCGTTAACAAAATAAAAAAAAGAAGAGAAAAATCGTTATTTTTCAAAAGTAAGATTAGGAATTACTGAACATTTTTCTTCTTTTATTCTTTTTTTTTTTTTACATACATAGAAGGAATGCATTCATGAAAATATGTTTTTTGAATAATAAATGTTTGGTCAGTTTCGATATAATTATAAAGTATGGTAACATTACACATTTAATAGAAGTTAAGAAGATGCTTGAATATAATACATTAGTAATGTCGATTTTTCTTCTTGATTTTAGTATAAAATTTTGGTAAAAATAAAAAAAGAAAGAAGAAAATCAGATCTTATTTATTAAAATTGTAAATCTTATATAAAAAGCATTTCGAATTGATAAGATTGAATGGATGAACACGTTTAAGCAACAT